TCCCTACACACTCTCCTCAGACTGAAGAAGGTACTTGGATGAGTAGTGAACCCTTTCAGCCTAATAAGAAAAAAGGCCAGTTGCCATGACTCAACTTCTTTAACTATTTTGCTTGCCTTAAAGCCCTATTAGGGTCATTATTCAGTCAGTTCCTACTGGCACATAACAATAACAACAACAATACTGTAGTAGGATTGCAACTAAGCTCAGGGGGGATAAGAAAATTTGTAGGCCACAGGAACGAATGCCAAGTCCTGGCACTTTGACCTTGAGATCCCTGGGTCCACTAGGCTCTAAGCCTTTTCTGCTCTCTTCCAAGAGTGTCTGATATAAGTGGATAATTTCCCAGTGGCCAGTGCATAAGGCAAACAGATGAGCAGCACTCCTAGCAAACAGCTTGTAACTCATCCCAAACTCATTTCTCCCCTGGCAGGAAAATATATTGAGAACCATGGGGTGATTCACAATATGTGGTTCAATACCAGCAGTGGACAGAAGCTTTCTTATTACAAGACACAGGGGATGTCAGACTGGTGGGACAATGGCAGCCTCCCAATCTGGATCACAGCACAAAGACAGGTAAGCTGTAAATAAACGCACAGCATTTTCAGAAGCTGAGCGACCATAAAGTATCACTTTCAGGGTAAATTCTTCTTACAAACATTCTGTCCTGCACACAATGATTAAAAATATTAAAAATTACTATAGAGACGTGGTGGCGTTGCGGGCTAAACCGCAGAAGCCTGTGCTGCAGGGTCAGAAGACCAAGCAGTCGTAACATCGAATCCATGAGACAGAGTGAGCGCCTGTCAGTTGTCCCAGCTCCCGCCAACCTAGCGGTTGGAAAGCATGCAAATGCGAGTAGATCAATAGGGACCATCTCGGTGGGAAGGTAAACAGCGTTCCGTGTCTAAGTCGCACTGGCCATGTGACCACGGAAGATTGTCTTCGGACAAAACGCTGGCTCTATGGCTTGGAAACGGGGATGAGCACTGCCCCCTAGAGTCGAACACGACTGGACAAAAATTGTCAAGGGGAACCTTTACCTTTACCTATAGGCTACCTAACCTTATTTAGCAGAGAAAAACTGGGAAAAAACTAGTAGGAACATATTCTTACTGCACAATAATTATAGCATCCCATTCCATGTAGCCCTGCAACAGCTAATCACTGCTTTATATGGTATTTTAATGATTCATCCAGTCCTATGAATATAGACGTGTGTGCATTCAGGATAATTACTGAAAAAAACAACAGCATGACACAATAATACTAGTAAATAAAGGAGAGGGCTAAAAATGATTTCTCATTTATGTTCTCCCAAGGAAGCCTATGTTATGTGGAAAGGAAAACTGAGACTGAGATATGCACTTTTGATTTGGATTGTAATCCTAAAGAATATTGTGAACTAAGCCTCACAGAACCAGAGATGGGAGAAGAGAGTGTTCATGTGTCTGTGTAAGAGTTTGTATCTGAATGGTTGACTTTGTGTGTTAAATAGGAGAACAAGCAAAATTATGCCAGTGAGTTCTTACCTTCTAAAAATAATAACATGTTATAAGTACTCCTAAATTTTACTGTCAAAATGTTATTTTAGAGGGCTGGATGTATTGGTCTGTTTTTCCCCCGTTTTAACTCAGAAGTAACAATTTAGGGTAAAACTTTAACATTAACCCATTCTTTCCAAGCTCTGTGCTGAATACAGTGAGATTTTATTCTAAGTACATTCTCAGGATTCTACAGATCCATTTATAAATTTCACTTGTGCCAAAAGAGAAGCAGAAGAAAGCTGCCCCCTTCCATGGCTTTCCCCTATCTTAGTAATTGTTCTAGGTAAAATAGGTAAAGGTTCCCCTTGACAATTTTTTTTTGTCCAGTCGTGTTCAACAGCTCATCGCTGTTTCCAAGCCATAGAGCCAGCATTTGTCCGAAGACAATCTTCCATGGTCACATGGCCAGTGCGACTTAGACACGGAACACTGTTACCTTCCCACTGAGGTGGTCCCTATTGATCTACTTGCATTTGCATGCTTTCGAACTGCTAGGTTGGCGGGAGCTGGGACAAGCGACGGGCGCTCACTCCGTCGCGTGGATTCAATCTTACGACTGCTTGGTCTTCTGACACTGCAGCACAGAGGGTTCTGTGGTTTAGCCTGCAGCACCACCACATCCCTAGTAATTGTTCTATATTTTTTAATTCTATAGGGTAGGAATGCAAAACCTTCCCAGTCCTCAGGGCTATATTTGGGATATGCCGGGTAGAGCCATTAATGCCTCTATGCAAACTGATGTGTGCATCATCTGTAATTCTTTCCCAGTTTGGACATTTCGCACCAAACATGCAAAGCATAGCGCAACAGCTTCCATGCATTCAAAGCATTGTTCATTCCCTTCTCTACGTACCTATTTGGAATTAAAACATGTCTCTACTTTCCACACCTCCTTGCTGACCAGCATAAAATTGAAGGTATTTAAAGAACAAGAGATTTCAAGTGTGAAGGCAGTATCCTGTTGGAGCTGCTGAGTGTACAAGGACAATTGCAGCAGCAATGTACCTGTTTTATGGGCTGTCACCTATGCATTCAGCCATGCCCTTATTGCACAATCAATTGCACAACTAGTGCATATCCAGGAACATCTGGTGGTGTTTTTTTTCTTTGTCCATGTCAGAAGCAATCCAGTGGTGCTTCTGGAGTGGAAGGATCAGCCAACAGGGTGCTGTCATTGCCCAAGGGGCACCTGGATGTGTTCACATTCTTCAGGGTGGTTCCTTCCATATCCCCCCTCAGCCACATGATGAACAGATTGCAAAACTTTTTAAAATCTCTCTATCTATCTATTTTGTTTCTCTGCCACCTTCCTCCAGCCAGTGGGACATGAAAATTGCTTGCATAATTGTCATTATGCACCTGGCAAAATTCAACAGGATCCTGGCCTAAATGCACTTAAATAATTTTTGCCTTCCAAGTCATTGACTGGTGGGAAGATTGAGGCTTGCCGCCTTTGTGCTGAGGACAGCCTCCTGCATTCCATAATCCAACCTTGATTACTTTCCTGGCTTTATCAAGAAAAAGGTCTTTTCCTTGCAGCCCAGCTGATGATCTGGAACATGAGCAGAACTGATAAAGCCACACACTACTGTCAGGTAAAGTCACATGTCAGTCAAGAGCTCTGTACTTCAAAGGTAGGGTAAGAGAAAGTTCTACTACAAAATCTGTAATCCAGTATTCCCCTTAGAAACAACATTTGTGTTTGCTCTTTATTCGCACAGTCACCCAATCCTGCATATTATCAGTATCACTGTGTATGATTTCTCATCATAGGGCTTGAAGACAGGTTCCCTTTATTTCCCTGGAGGGAATGCCACCTACCAAGGAGAGCAGGTACATTTGAAGAAGGTAGAGAAGTCCTTCCTTCACCCATACGGCAATGAGACTGAGTGGCGGCAGAACATTGACACAGTCATGAGGTGGTTCACTGAAGACAACCTTGACTTTGTTGCACTTTACTTTGGAGAACCTGACTCCACTGGACACAAATTCGGCCCAGAATCCCAGGAGAGGAAAGACATGGTCCGTCAGGTGGACCGGACAGTGGGATACCTGAGACAACGCATTCAGGAGAGCAAGATGACCTCAGTACTCAACCTGATCATCACATCAGATCATGGCATGGAAACTGTCATCAAAGAGAATGAAATTTACCTCCGTAATGTGGCAAACTTCTCTTTTCAGGACATTCAGTTTGAGCTGCTAGATTATGGACCACAAGGATTATTGATACCAAAGCCGGGGAAACTGGAAAAAGTATATGAAGCCCTGAATAATTCTCACCCCAGACTCCATGTCTATAAGAAGGAGGAGCTTCCACAAAGATTTCATTATTCAAACAACACTCGGATCACACCTCTTATATTATACGGCGACCCTGGATACGTGATCCATGGGGTATGAGGGGCTCTACTGTCTAAAAGGCACTTTTAGCTCTCTTTCCTTTTCTGTTCTTACCATGCCTATTTTAACATAAAATTAATATTAAATTTGTTGTTTTTAGGACCGATACCAGAAAAAGGCTCTAGAAATCTAATTTTAGTTGTTAAACCATGGGCTTTTTCAAATCTGTCTATTGGAGAAGCATGCTGGTCCATAACCCCCTTCCCTTATGGATAAGAGGGCTATATTTTGTTTTAAAATATATAGTAGGCAGGCCAGGAGTATAATCCGTAAAGCCTTAAGTAACTCAGCAAGGAAACTATGGAGTTTCTGAGGAATTCTGAGACTTCCAATCCAAGACCATCAGGAGCTCCTGAGTTAGGAACTGTTGTTCTCTAAAGTAGTGGTCCCCAACCTTGGTTGAAGTCCAGATGTTCTTGGACTTCAACTCCCAGAAATCCTGGCCAGCAGAGGTGGTGGTGAAGGCTTCTGGGAGTTGTAGTCCAAGAACATCTGGAGGCAGAAGGTTGGGGACCACTGCGAATCAGCCACCCATGTCTCTAGAGCATGACACTGTAAGAAGCTTTGTCTGAAACTATAAGCTAGGTGAGAAGCCGACTCAGAGAGCTGCCCCATTTGGTCTCAGGCAGTTACTGATGTCATAGCAAAACTATTTTTATTGTATCCAAATCAAATAAATATCACTGTCCCACAATTTTTAAAAAAATGACTTTAGTTTCCTATGCTACAGATTTGAAAAATAATGTTATCTGAATTAAAACTACAGCCCAACAACCTTTTTATGTGAAGCTGGGATGATTTGCCATTATCCTTTCCCATTAGCAGTTCCTCAGGCATCATTCCTTCTTACATGCAGAAAGATGCTAAAAACCTAACTCTTCAGGATGGCTCTTACACCTGAAAACCTAGGAGCACTTGTCATAGTGTTCACTGTATTATTTTAGGTTTCAGTTTCTTGGATGTTAATCTGGAGTTATAATTTTGATTAAGTTATCTTTATTTCAGCATAGGATATTATACCACTTGTTCTGTACTACTGTGTTTTGTTTGATTGCTGACTTTGTTGTTGTTGTTTGTGATATGATATCCTGGTTGTTTGTACACTGTCCAGAGAGTGCTTGTTCACTATGAGGCATGAAAAAGCAAGCAAACGAACAAATTCCACAAAGGAGGAAAGCCTCCCCAGTATACTTGAAATAGAAGACCCTACCCATGACGAACAGCCTAGCTGAACTGCCTATCCCACAGGTGCCTGCAAATTTAGCTGTTTGAATAAAACAAAATTATTAATGAATATGGATAATATTAACAACAATGACAACAATTCTGCTGATGTAAGGATGGGTGCCTTTTCATTTGCAACCACCTCTGCGATGGCCAGAAAGAAATGGATGCAAAATGTAGTTCAACGGCACAAGCTTGACATCCTGGAAGTCCAGAGAAAATGCAAGCAGGAATTCTTGTGAATTTTTACAGGATGAGAATTGGTAAAAAATATTAAGATTTCTCTCGCTGTTGGAGAGTAGGTAGGTGCTGTCAGGTCAGAAAATTTACAAACTTCCTAAGAGCCCTATAGATCCTTATAGGAAAAACCAGAGTGCTGTGTTCACCCAGCCAGCATTTATCCCTGGCTAGTTCCACTGTGAACCAAACACCTCTTCGAATCAAATCAAAGTTCATCGGGGTATCAGAGTTTATAAGATTTTCTATGTTCCATAGCCACAAAAATGAAATCCAAAAAATAATAATTTAAAATATATTGAAAATGCTGTAAGAACTGTTGCCATCTAAAATTCTTACAACTATGAAAAGTTGCAAATAAGAAATATTGCAAAACCGAAACTTAAGTTGTAGACAGAACTTAAGTTAGAAAAATCTATTTCAGTTATAAGCTTATAGCTATAGTACTTAATAGATAAGAACTTAAATCAAATTTCAATCCAAAAGGCACACAATATACCTCTAAAATACATCATTAAAAAGTAAAAAGCATTATAACTTGGAGCAGTCTTTAAACTCTAAGCATATTACTGGACACACATAAAAATATGTTAAGTGTGCATCCCACCAAACCAGTTTATATCTATGGAAGACAAATCCTTGTTCTTCTTGTCTGTTCCATGGTGTTGCTGCTCTTTGATGTCTTGTTCCCAGTGTCAGTGTTGCTGGTATCCAGTGTTTGTGGTGTGGCAATGACATGTGTGTGTCTTGCTTCCCTATATTTATATTTCCCTCACCTGTAAATAATTGGATCTTGCCAGTGTAGTAAAGTACCTGATCTCCAGAAACAGGCAGGAATTTTTAAAGGGATATCTCGATTGCTTTTACTGGGGTGGCAAAGTACGACCACTGTAAATTACAAGACCAGAAAGTTGCCCCTTTGGCAAACAGTTGCTTTTTGTTTAGACTAAATGGGTCCCTGCACCTCTGGAAATAGCTAACGTCCCATAGTAATTTACTTGGGCATTATTTTACTGGGTAGGGAAAATGCCATGAACATAAACTGCGGGTAAACTACTACAAGTTGATCAGATACCTATTTGCTCTATTCTCGTTTGAGAATTCAAGTAGGTTTTTCCTTCTTCATTTTTTTATTTTTCTTATCAGTTGTTTACATGTTCAGCAGCTACCTCTGCAGAACACTGCATGAAACACGATGTGTTTCCTTTGTTGCCTACTAGAAGCAGGGAGGGTTACAAAGAGGGGGGGGCAATAGTTTAAATCCTCTCCTTTCTTTTCAGCGGCTCAAACTACAGTTCAATAAAGGAGAGCACGGGTTTGACAATGAGGATATGAACATGAAGACCATCTTCCGAGCTGTGGGACCAGCTTTCAAGAGAGGACTGGAGGTGGAGCCTTTTGAAAGTGTTAATATTTATGCCCTTCTTTGCAAACTGCTGAAGATTACACCCGAGCCAAATGATGGATCCTTGAGCGTCACGCAGGAGATGCTGGCTACCAATGCAGGTCTGGTTTTGTTTCTTAGTAAGCTTTCAATGTGATAAATAATGAATTGGTCAGTGAACTGATTCAGTCTACATTGATGGGTTCTGATAAATAGGCCCATGCAGTGGAATTTCAGTGATGTGCCTAAACAATGCCTTATACAGACTATCAAACCTCAGAAAGAATCTTCTCGTTTCTTGTCTTCTCATCTTGGATGGACCACCTCTCCCTATGGAATCATGAGAGATTTTAAAAGTTCCTTTTTTTGTCTACAGCTCCCAGCTCTGGCTGGGAGATCCTGGGAGCTGAAGTCTAAAATAACAGATCTTTTCAAGTTCTGGGAATAGCAACCATTGCTTTCTACAAACTGTCCAGTGCTCATGTTCCCAAACCCGGGGTGTGTGCAGAAATTGAGGGATTAGTGGGAATAGCAGGACTGGCTGAAGATGCTGCAGCAAAATTTGAATATGAGAGAAAGCAAAATCTGAAAGACTGTCCCATCCCTCTTCCTTCGTTTCATTGGCCAGATGAAACTAAAGTGATATGAAAAACACACTTCATGTGTTTTTGCCTGTTCAACCTACAGTTTGTCTTCCGACAGACCTCTCCAACATCAGAGAGGCAAAGTGCAGGAGGAAAGGCAAACTACATTCTTGCCACATTCAAGAAAATGCAGTCAGAGACTCCGGACAAATTTCTCAAGTTGAGCCATGTTCTGCCTTTAGGATGTGGCCACTAACTGCCTCCAGCTACTCTCTATGTGTTGCCCATATCTGATAAGGACTGGTTGACTTTCAGAATGAAAAAAAAAATGCAGATGTGTCAAGCTGCATGAAAACTGCCCATGGGCTTAATAGGGGCTGGTGTGAGAAGAAAAGCCAGTTATGGTTTTAAAGTATGGGAAGATTTTGCAACTAGGAAGGTTGTAAATTCTCTGCACTCTGCTTTTAAATGGCAGACCCTTGATCTGGCAGTGTTAATACAACATCATACTTATCCCAGCAAATGCTAAGGTGTTTGTAGGAAAACTTGGCAGATCAACTTATCAAAACAACCCATTTTGATAAGTTACATTAGAAAACAATAACAATTGAGTCAGAGGTTTCCAAGCAAGTACAAGACAATATATTTAAAATTCAGGATTTCAACCTCATTATTATCAAAGGGAAAGACAGCCCCGCCTTCTGTGAAAGGGGTGATGTGTTTGTGTTTTCATGAAAAGGCCAGGGAATTCTTATGACTATTTTACTTTTGAACTTGCACTTTGGGCGACTGTTTCCATCTCCTGTTTCTGTTAGTTAAAAAGAAAAATGGTTACCTGACACTCTGAGTGTCAAGCAGCATCACTGAAATGACAGTTCTTTCCATCAGCATGAGAAATGAGAATTCTTGAACTCTGAGGCAGCTTTTCGTGAGATACTAGGACCACTGTAGCAAATCCTTGTGTAACTTAGATTACATGTAAGGGAAATGCATATTTCCTCCCCTTACACCATTTTCCCTCCAGACATGCAAATGCCTCAAAGCTATATGCCTGAGAAATCAGACATGCAAATACAGGTTGACGTGAGCACCCATTAGCATAAATGGTCACTAATAGCAAAGCTGTTTTGAGACTTATTGATTCATTCATTCATTCATTCATTCATTCATTCATTCATTCATTCATTCAATTTTTACCCCGCCCCTCTAGACAACATCTACTCAGGGAGGCTTACATAAGTTAAAACACGTTAAAATAGCATATAAAATGCAATTATACAATTAATTCTAAGACTTGTTGACTGTATCATCTTGTTTGGAAAGACTCTGGGCCCAGGAGAACTTCAGTGCCCAGACATATTAGGGAACATCCATTATATTGAGTTAAGATTAATTAATTCATCACCCTCCACTGCCACCAAGAAGGGGGGAGGGAGGGAGAAGAGAGAGTAGCTGAGGGACTGTTGGAACTATAGTCCAAAGAAGTAAAAAATTCCAGATCCTGAGGTTGGAATATAGGAGAAGTAAATGCAGATAGACATTCCATTGTATATTTGTTTCCTTATAAATGAAAAATACCAGTGATAGGAAGTGGTTTGGTTTAGAAGTAATGGTTCCCATTATAAAACTATGCTGTGAAACATCTCACACTTACACGCTCCTCTGTTCATTTGTGTGCCAGAGGAAGAGACAGAAAGCTTCGGCTTTTCGTTCTAAACTAAATTTCTCTGTGATATCCAGATGTGTGGAACAACAGAAAATTAAACAACAGTTCATGAAAATTAGCCAATCACACCGTGGTTTCAGATCATCAATATATTCTCAAATTAGACTGTAAACACACCAAGCTCTTCACATTCAAACATCCAAGTGGTGCATGAAAGAGGGCCTTCTCTGTCACTACTCCCATACTCTGGAACGCCCTCCCAAGGAAAGCCAGGTTGGCATTATAAAACTATGCTGTGAAACATCTCAAACTTACACGCTCCTCTGAAGGCCTTAGAAATGGACGTCAACAGATGGGAAACCTTGACATCTGAGCGTTCAGCCTGGAGGCAGGTGGTGGATTATGGTCTCTCCCAATTTGAAGAGGCAGTTGTCCAGCAGGCTGAGGCAAAGGCAGTCCTGAAACCAGCAAAATCAGGGAGCTGGACAGGGGACAGATTGTATTTGTCCTCATTGTGGACGGGATTGTCACTCTCAAATTGGCCTTCTCAGCCACACCAGACATTGTTCCAAGACCTCTATTCAAAGCAGGTTACCATAGTTTCTTGAGAATAAATGATGCCTATAGGGCAAAGACCTTTCTCTTCAAGCAGGCTTTTAATGACTGATGGCTGAGAGGGTTTTTTAATGGATTGTTGTGCTCTGCAAGCGGGATCTGAAGGCCTTAGAAATGGACCTCAACAGATAGGAAACCTTGACATCTGAGCGTTCAGCCTGGAGGCAGTGGCGCATTATGGTCTCTCCCAATTTGAAGAGGCAGTTGTCCAGCAGGCTGAGGCAAAGGCAGTCCTGAAACCAGCAAAATCAGGGAGCTGGACAGGGGACAGATTGTATTTGTCCTCATTGTGGACGGGATTGTCACTCTCAAATTGGCCTTCTCAGCCACACCAGACATTGTTCCAAGACCTCTATTCAAAGCAGGTTACCATAGTTTCTTGAGAATAAATGATGCCTATAGGAATATGCTCTGTTGTTTTAAATGTGTTTTAATATTGATCTTAGTTACTATTTTAATATAATATTTGTTTAATTCTTTTTTAATATTTGTATACTTACTGTTTTAGCTTTAAATACTGTTCTCATGATGTAAGCCGTCTTGGGTCCTTTTGGGGAGAAAGTCGGCATAGAAATATTTCAATAATTAATATTTAATAAAATAACTGATTTAATTTAAATAATAATTTGAATAATTAATACTTAATATTAATTAAATAATTAATATTTAACATTATTTTTACAGCACTGTCCTCCATAAAAGTACCTGAGGCAGCTTACATCATTTGAAAAGATAGTTAAAATGATACATTATTCAAATATTTTTTTAAAAAATAAACATAGTATTAAATGTTAAATAAAAGGATTACTGAAGCAGATTAGAAGCAACCATCCTGTTTTAAAAAAAAACTCTTATAGAGTCACTATACAGTCATTAAGGGAATGCCTCCCCCGAAAAGAGAGGTCTCCACTTGCTTGCAGAAGGATAGCAAAGAGGGAGCCAGACTGGCTTCCCGTGGGAGGGAGTTCCAGAATTCACAGGTTATAGGATTTTCTGTCCACTGCCAGCAAATCCTATTGGTTCAAGCGTCTATTTACATCCTTTTGTGGTGATGACCCCACCCACCCCCACATGTGTATCATACTTTTTGTTCTGTCCAGGGTCGATCTGAAATCTGCCCTACCACTTTCTGGGAGAGGGTCAGTCTCTCCATGTGAACCCATCAGAGAGACAAGAGCTGCCCCCCTCTGAAAAATGTCTGGTCTGAGAGATAAGAACTTGCTTGTGCCAGACTGACCATCCTGTCAGCGCTTCCACGGAAACAAAACAGGGAGAGGTGGATAGGGAGGAATGTGTTACGTATTCCGAAAATAGCAGGGAGCCCTCTGACTGGCAGATCTTCTGACAGCCATCTAAACACGGAAGGAGTTTTAACATCCCATGTCCAATTATACTATGATGCTTATTGGAATGAGATGTGAAAGAAAAGTGGCATAATTGGGTTTGGAAAGAACTGCAGACATTTGCAGATTACTTTGTCGATAGTTATTAGTTAAAATGGGCCATTGCACAGCATGTCCTGGCTTAGTCTGTATAGAACGCTGGAAAGCAAGGGTGTGAAGGGCACAGGAGGGAGGGACCCCTCCTTCATTTCCTTGGCTCCTCTCTGCTTCCCTTTGAAGCAACTGGCAAGGGAACCATTTTGAAAACTCCATGTTGGGGGTGGGAGATGCAAAAGAGGAGGTGTGTGTGCACCCATCCTGGATGTGTGGGCTGAGGTAAGTTGCCAGTCACCCTTCATGTGGGAAACTTGTTTCTGTGTACAGGGAGTACCTGATGGTGGTACTTGCTGCAGCATGGCCTATGTACCTACTGTGAGTGTTTCCCTGGACAAACTTATAAAAAGGCCCAGGAGCAGTAGCTGTTGGTCAGAGTCTGGGAACATGTGGGCTGCAAATGGTGTTGGGCCAGGCAATAGTGAGGGATGATGGGAGTTGTGTAAAAAACACAACAACATGGAGGGCTACAGTGAGGGATGATGGGAGTTGTGTAAAAAAACACAACAACAACATGGAGGGCTACTAGTACATATTGTGTACAGTTGCTGTAGGGTCAGAAAACTGGGACTACAGCTTGAAGCTTTGCTTATGGGAGAGAAAACAAAATCTCAACTGGCTTTTAATACAGTGCATTTCTCTCCGGCCTTTCTCCTGCCATGCAAGGCCAGGTGTTGTACACAGGGTGCAACTTTCCAGTCAGGTACTGACCAGATTCAGGCCAGCTTAACTGCAGCAAATGGCTGTCTCATCTGCTATCTGACATACAAGGGCAACAAAAGAGAAATGGAACTGGGGTGGTGGCGCTGCGGGCTAAACCGCAGAAGCCTGTGCTGCAGGGTCAGAAGACCAAGCAGTCGCAAGATCGAATCCATGCGACGGAGTGAGCTCCCATTGCTTTGTCCCAGCTCCCGCCAACCTAGCGGTTCGAAAGCATGCAAATGCAAGTAGATCAATAGGGACCACCTCGGTGGGAAGGTAACAGCGTTCCGTGTCTAAGTCGCACTGGCCATGTGACCACGGAAGATTGTCTTTGGACAAAACGCTGGCTCTATGGCTTGGAAACAGGGATAAGCACCTCCCCCTAGAGTCGAACACGTCTGGACAAAAATTGTCAAGGGGAACCTTTACCTTTACCTTTTTAAGGCTATAATCAGGCCCTTCTAATGAAGCATTTGAGGAAGAAACTAGTGAAAAGAAGAAAAACGCTTAGCAAGCATGAATTATTTGTTTATACTGTACCTGGAATATCCTGGTCCTAGCTCTGAAATTCTGCTGAACATGTGTAGTTCATGAGCGCAGATCCTTCATTTAGCCTCAGAGTAGAACCTGTGTTCAGCTGGAGTGATACCTACAGTAGTCAACACAGACTTATAGTAGCAGTCAAGTTGAGGGCCCAAATCCCAGTTGGGTACAGTTGCAACAGGTACCGTTGGTGCTGACTGTCAGACATTTCAGACACCATGATCCAACTGCAATCTTGGTGGTGAAATCTGAGCTTTTAAGTAGCCACAATCACAAGCGAGTGAAGCAATAAAGAAGTTTGGTGTAGTCCACTAGCCCCCTTGGTGCCAAGGCTCAAACCAACATTGCTATGCTGCATGCCCTGCAGACATAGGGCTGTATGGGACCCAGCCCCCTTGCGTGTGATAAAACATAAGCCATACATATGATGGACTTAACTCCTGGTTCTGCCCATTTTTATTTTTAGAATTCTACTTTGTGATGGAAAGAGTGCAGGAACTTGTGGGTGCTTATATGTTGTTGTTGCATGCCATCAAGTCATCTCCGAGCAACCCTACGAATGAGCAATTTCCAAAATGTGCTGTCATGCAGTAATCCTGCCTCAAATTTACAATATTATGGCATGTACAGACCGTCATATTTCATTTGTTTTGCAATCCTCCTGTTTTGTGTTTTTCCCCTGCCTCTTCCACATTTTTTTTTACCAGAAAAAGAATGCATTAAGAAGAAAAAAGTTTGATAAATGCACAACGACTGTTAACTCTGCAAGCCATTCCTCCCACAGTGGTGGATTTACAGGTTATAGAGATCATCCAGTGTACAGCATGGAGCCAACAGGCCAGCTATGAGATATATTTGTTTCCCTAGTGACATCTAGTGGCCAAATACTGTATAGGCATAACCGCTTACTCCTTTCCTTAGGGGAAAATCCATTACCTTGAAAATTGCCTGATCTTGAACGTCTTAAGCAAAAAACAAAAGGCAAAAAAGCAAAACAAGCAACCCTGAAGTCTTCCATTACTTTATTTCATCTTACAGGGACCAGTATGGCCTTTCTTTCTACTTGGAAAATGATGTTGTTGTTGGGTGTCCTTCGATTGCTTTTGTGAAGCTCTTCTCCAACCTCCCGAGAAACACAACAACCAGGTATGAACAACTGGAACTCTGTTTATTCCAGTTCTTAGATGTCCTTTCAAAAAGGACTCAAGGAATTTCGTAATTGTTAAAATATGCAAATGTTTTTTTTTTAAACAACAAGAACAACACTATGCCAACAGTGTATGTAAATTACAAAATTACAGCTCCAACAATGAATTCATAAGGCAGGGCTCATCATTCTGTTACAGGACAACTAACTACCTTAAAATAGTTTGGGCAGATTCTGTTTCTCTGCACAGAGTTAGGAGGCTGCTGGCTCTCCTACAACATTAACCCTCAAGCAGCCAGAATGTTTTCTACAGTATGTACTTTATACTACAGGATTAAAATCCAGACCATATGGAACTGTATTACTGTGCCTGCCCAAGGGGACTGAAGTGGCAGACCCTTGTCACATTCAGTCAATTCAGTACCCTCCAGAAGCAATCCCTGCTGAGGAGAGTTCCACAGGTAGGTCTCTGCTCCAGTATCTGTTGCGCTGACGTGGGACATCTTTTTTCAGTGCATCAGGGTTTGTTTCTCTGGCATCACTGTAAGGGATGCAGCTTGATTCCAGTGGCAACCCTAGGGGTGATGTATTCTATTTACAAACTTCCTGTCTGCATAAGAGAAGTATGCAATGCCTTGGATGGGTGAGCTTCTTCCCATTTACTTTTGAAGAGAAATGGTTGGGCAACAAAATGTAGTACTTCTGTTCCAAAGCAAATTCTTTCCCATTGTCTATCTGAGAAGGATCAAACGCATGCATCTGTATTGTGCACTTTGTGTGTTACTGGAACTTCTTGGATCAAGGAATGTGGGCTCTCTCCAGGGTTGCAATGTTCTTTGCCATACATGCCCTGCTTGTTGTGACCTTCCAGAGGGCACCCCAGGGGAATGCTGGGCTATAAAGACCCTTGATCCGATTCAACAACTGAGTTCCTAATAAGGCAGAAATAGCTTGCAATAGATGATACCACTCTGATGGCAGAAAGTGAGGAGGAACTAAAGAACCTTGTAATGAGGGTGAAAAAGGAGAGTGCAAAAAATGGTCTGGAGCTCAACATAAAAAAAAAACTAAGATCATGGCCACTAATCCCATCACCTCCTGGCAAACAGAATGGGAAGATATGGAGGCAGTGACATATTTTATTTTCTTGGGCTCCATGATTACTGCAGGTGGTGACAGCAGCCACGAAATTAAAAGACCCCTGCTTCTTGGAAGGAAAGCGATGACCAACCTAGACAGCATCTTAAAAAGCAGAGACATCACCTTGCCAACAAAGGTCCGCATAATCAAAGCTATGGTTTTTCCAGTAGCGATGTATGGAAGTGAGAGATGGACCATAAAGAAGGCTGACCACCAAATAATTGATGTTTTTGAATTGTGCTGCTGGAGGAGATTGTTGAGAGTCTCTTGGACTGCAAGGAGAACAAACCTCTCCATTTTGAAGGAAATCAACCCTGAGTGCGCACTGGAAGGACAGATCCTGAAGCTGAGACTGCAATACTTTGGGCATCTCATGAGCAGAGAAGACTCCCTGGGAAAGACCCTGATGTTGGGAAAGTGTGAAGGCAAGAAGAGAAGGGTACGACAGAGGACGAGATGGTTGGACAATGTCATCAAAGCTACCAACATGAATTTGACCAAACTCTGGAAGGTAGTGGAAGACAGGAGGGCCTGGCATGCTCTGGTCCATGGGTTCATGAAGAGTTGGACACGACTTAACGACTAAACAACAACAACATCACATTGCAGTTCAGATGTGGCCAAGCGCAAAGGCAACATGCATAGATCCCTTTGAAATAATCAGCTTTTAACCTCAGATGTTTGGCCAGGAAGGGGAGAGTGATTCCAATAATTGAGATCCTGAGAGCATTTTTTTCCGAAATATAAATGTACATTGAAATATTTGAGCAACATGATAATGCCCTAATGTCTACATTAGTTGTATATTCTGAATTTGGTGTTTGGATGTTTTTATCAAAGCACATTAGTCAAGAGTCCTCAGCAGTCACAGCAGAATGTTGAGAACATTTCTGTAAAGAGCTCAAAGTATTTCTTCAGTACCTTGTTGAGCTTGCATCTTGTGCTGGGGGAACGAGTTCCAGTCCCCTTCCCCCTTCCCCTTCCCACTACTTTTTCTGAACAGCTAATTGGCAAGATTTCAATTTTTTAAAAGAGAGTGGTTTGAGTGCAGCTGCAGCTGCTGGACTGAGAAAGGATGGAAAAGAAATCCGCTGGGTTCACATTTCCCCATGAAAATATCCACTTTGCACCTCCTAGTACTAGTTACAGGACAAAGCACACATTGCTTGGAAATTCTGACATTTCTGAAGCTTGTGATATATTTCAGCAAGGACAAATGCACACAAAATCATGTGTGCCTCTGAAAAATGCACCCAGCTAAACATGCCACTGTTTCTCATAGGTGCACAGCTATGCTTTAGTCAGTAGAGGAAATGCATTAAAACCCTATGTGAGGTGGAAAAACTGTACTCTTTAAAAAATCATATGTACAAATTTCAATATGTGAACAAAAAAATTTTTTGCCATTGGAAAAAGAGTTGGGGTGGGATCAGTGGGCTGGTAGGATTCTGTGAAATGCAAGGAAAGCAGCTTGATATATATTGACTTTAAAAAACAAACAAATTATAGCCCCAAAGGAGCCACTAAAATCACAACAACAACACCTTCTTAGTGGTTCTGTGTTGCTCTTTCATGTGATATGGTAGAAAAGGCTATCTCACTTCAGAATTCTTCTGTCTCACAGTGAAAATGAATATGGCAGCACCTAGATGGTACAAGAAGGCTATCTCAGCGAGCAACAACAGAAACCATACACCTCAAGAGGAGCCTCCCACCTTCTGTAATGGATCAGCCAAGAATCTTACTATATTGATTACTTTACACACACAAGACTGGTGTGCCTGCATGCTTCAATGGAAACAATTCTTACGAGGCGGCACATGTCTGGACATGAAATAGCCCTCAGGCACACCATTGGTTAAAAAGCTTTTGGTTGGAATGTTCCGGACAAGGAAGAATTTGGGGCACAAGGAAAATCGCTGCTACTCCTACACTTCCCTCTGACACCACTGTATCTCACTAGCTGAGCAATTTTCTCCTCCCTCAGCTTGCCTCCGTGGTCAACAGTGGTGCCAACTATTATAGCTTGTGGCAGAATTGCAGAAGTCAGCAAAGGAATGCCATGTTTCCCTGATTTTTATCTAGAATATGGGTGCATTACACATAGATCACAGGCTCTGTGTGACCCCCCCCCCCAGAACTTAGTTGAGCAGCCTCCATGCCCCTTCCCACTCCTGCTGCACGCTTCCCTTCCTTCTTCCAATTCATTTCCCCGGCACTTGGCTCTATGGGAGCAGAAATGCCCAGTGGTAGCCCAAACTCTCCTACCAGCTAGATGGCCAGAAGTGCCAGCAATTTCTATCTTTAACACCCCTCCACTCTTTCTTTCTTTCTTTCTTTCTTTCTTTCTTTCTTTCTTTCTTTCTTTCTTTCTTTCTTTTTTTCTTTCTTTCTTTCTTTCTTTCTCCCTCCCTCCTTCCTTCCTTCCTTCCTTCCTTCCTTCCTTCCTT